TAGATTAGTACTTCTGTTTACTAGCGAGTAATTTCTTCAGCCAATATGCTTTCTTTTACTTAAAAAAAAATGACGTCTACTTAATTGTTAAATAGTTGAAACGTTCAGGCTGGTTCTGCAATCCTCTTCCAAATGAATTTCAACCCCATTCAATTTGAATTCAAAGTGCCTTTGGTTGAAATTCAGCTGTCAAAAACATTTACCTTTCCTTCAGTTTTATTTTTAACAAATCGTCTGCAAAGTCCTTGATCCATGAAGTCCTCATTTTATGAATTTTTCGCAGTTGAAAGTGCGCAAGCTTCGCCACTGTTGCTGTGTTATATGTCTAATTATCATGTAAATTCTTAAAAAGGTTTTAACCCTTTGCTGCATAAATTAAGAAGATGAATAAAAAGCTTTTAATTGTAAAAATAAACCTAAATTGAAAGAGCAAACGACTCCAAATCATTTATTTTTTAAATTATTTCGCAGGGAAATATAAAAAACATTGTGTGAAAACAATAGAAAACCGTTGGGTAACGATGAACTAATTATTGATTTACACAGAAGAGGATGTGTGAATTAAGAAAAAACTTTTTAATTTACAAGAACAACTTGCGTTATTCATTAGTTTTCGTGTTTATCAGTTGAGTTCCACGCGCACCAATTTATCGTGGCCTGGGTAGATTGTCGTAAGCGCCATTTAGACGATTTTTAGTTCTAGATGCAGTTATATATTTTGAAATAAGGTATTTCGATTGGTGTTATCAGTTTTTAGATATCTCCTTTAGTTTCCGAGATATTGACTACAACTTTTTCGATAATTTAGTAAAAATTTAGTTGGTGATGCAGTCATATTAAACTAAACAATATCTTAAAAATGGCGTTCGCCATTTTTGGATATCTCCTTTAGTTTCCGAGATATTTGGTAGGAATTTTGATCACATTTTGTCGTATTTCATACAAAGTGACTGCCAAATTGTGAACAAATGACGCTTACGACAAAATTTGGCCAAAGAAAATCCTTCATAAACTCAAAACTAATTAACAATGAACATTAAATAATTTAAGAATTTTGTGAACTAGTAACATTTTCAGACACTTTGAAGAAAATCTATCTTCGCGTTTTTGAGAAATTGCATTCCTAGCTTCAATCACGATTTCCAACAACCTGCCGAAATTAACATACGACAATCTTTTATCCAGGCGACGATATGTTTTTCGACCACTCACACAAAAGTGAGCTTATATTCAAATGTAATCCAACTATAGGCAAAACAATTACATTCCATTATTCGTAGTTAACTTCTCAATGCATTTAATTAGTTTAAACGAATTTTATAACACTCGTTAGGTGGAAATAAATTGCCAAAGTAGTGACACCATATATGGCTTCGTATGCAGTAGAGGGTTAAGTGTAATTTAATAACTTTGCTATACACATAAGGAGGCTACACATTCTTGTATCTATTCAAGTCAATCAAAATAATGAGCATAATTTTCGTGTAGTTTGATAAAAAGTGGGATAAAATCCAAAGTATCAAGCCTCATTTTCACCACTTTTCTTCGAAATTAATCATTATTCAAAACGAGATCAAATAGAGACCAAATGGATCTTGAGGAAAATATGTATNTTCGATAATTTAGTAAAAATTTAGTTGGTGATGCAGTCATATTAAACTAAACAATATCTTAAAAATGGCGTTCGCCATTTTTGGATATCTCCTTTAGTTTCCGAGATATTTGGTAGGAATTTTGATCACATTTTGTCGTATTTCATACAAAGTGACTGCCAAATTGTGAACAAATGACGCTTACGACAAAATTTGGCCAAAGAAAATCCTTCATAAACTCAAAACTAATTAACAATGAACATTAAATAATTTAAGAATTTTGTGAACTAGTAACATTTTCAGACACTTTGAAGAAAATCTATCTTCGCGTTTTTGAGAAATTGCATTCCTAGCTTCAATCACGATTTCCAACAACCTGCCGAAATTAACATACGACAATCTTTTATCCAGGCGACGATATGTTTTTCGACCACTCACACAAAAGTGAGCTTATATTCAAATGTAATCCAACTATAGGCAAAACAATTACATTCCATTATTCGTAGTTAACTTCTCAATGCATTTAATTAGTTTAAACGAATTTTATAACACTCGTTAGGTGGAAATAAATTGCCAAAGTAGTGACACCATATATGGCTTCGTATGCAGTAGAGGGTTAAGTGTAATTTAATAACTTTGCTATACACATAAGGAGGCTACACATTCTTGTATCTATTCAAGTCAATCAAAATAATGAGCATAATTTTCGTGTAGTTTGATAAAAAGTGGGATAAAATCCAAAGTATCAAGCCTCATTTTCACCACTTTTCTTCGAAATTAATCATTATTCAAAACGAGTGACAATAGAGACCAAATGGATCTTGAGGAAAATATGTATACCTATTCATGTGATGCGGGCTGTATTTTAAAAGCAATATTAAGTATTGCCAGGCATTTCTCACCGGCTCCAAACTTCTACCAGACGCTCCAAAGTGTGCAAAAAGTTAATAACTTACTTACTTACGTACATGTAACTAAGACTCGAAATTTTTATACCCGAGCGCACTTGTGCACAAGGGTATATTAATTTTGTTCACATAACGGTTGTTTGTAACAGCCAAAACGAATCGAGATAGATATAGACAAATGTATACATAAATGATCAGGATGAAAAAAGAAATCGATTAAGCCATGTCTGTCTGTCCGTCCGTCTGTCCGTCTGTCCGTGTACACGATAACTCGAGCAAAAATTTAGATATCTCAACGAAATTTGGTATGTAGGTTTCCCTTAATCCAAGGTAGGTTGGTATTGAAAATGGGCGAAATCGGACTGTAACCACGCCCACTTCCCATATAACGGTAATTTCCAGAAATACGAAAACTGCGATATTTTAGTAACTACTGAAGATTATTCACTCAAAATTGATATTTACAATAATTTTTAGACGAAAAATAAGAATATTATAAATTTTTGGAAAATGGGCGTAGCCACGCCCACTTATGGTTACATGTGTATATCTTGGTAACCGCTGCACCAATTTCTTCCAAACTTGGCACAGTTGTTGGCCTTGGTACAGCATAAAAAACCGCCGAAACTTTTTAAAATCGGACAATAACCACGCCCACATCCCATATAACGGTAATTTAGAGAAATACAAAATCTTCGATAAATCATTAAATATTGAAGCTAATTTATTCAAAATTGATGCTTGCAACAATTCTTTACCAAGAAATACGTTTATGGTAAAATTTTGGAAAATGGGCGTGGCACCGCCCACTTATGATCACATATAAGTATATCGGTAACCGTTCTACCAATTTGTACCAAACTCGGTATGGTTATTGTACTTGCCACGTGTAAGCAAAACGTTGAAAATTATTGAATTCGGACTAAAATAACGGCCGATTCTCATATAACGGTAAATTTAAGAAATGCTTGAAACTTCAATATTTCGAAATTGAAGGACGCTAATTTACTCAAAATTGATACACCTCGGCTTACCATCTAGCGGAAGGTTTCGGAAGGGTGAAAAAACATATATTTAATACTTGCGCCGGGTATTTAATGTTCGGCTCCGCCCGAACTTAGACTTTCTTACTTGGTTTTTTTTAAGTTTATATCGTCTGGCTGGTGAAATAGCTCTAGAGAACACTCCCTCACTGCAGTTGCGTATTCAGCCTCATCAGTTGCGCCTTTAGCCTACTAAGGAACACCAAAGGTAGAAACAAAGGCAACCACTTTATGGAAAGTCTATCAAAATGGCCGCTATCATGTGTATCTATGAGTATCTACTTAGCTATGCCCGAATTTTAATTATATACATACTTTTTCTTCACTTTCACCATTATTCTTCCAAATGCCAAATATGATAAAAGCAGTGCCAAATAATACTTCTACAATCGTTAAGTTATTGCTACTACCTTTAGATATACAACGTTCGTATAGATTTGGGTGCGTTCAGAAATGCATCAAGCCAAAGCATCTAAACTATAATTGATGGAAATGTTTTATTTACACAATTAAGTTCCGATTAGGCTTATAACCGAGGTTGCGCATATGCGACATTTCTATCAATTATAATTTAGAAATAAAAGAGACTGATGCTTTGGCTTGATGCATTTCTGAATGCACCCTTTTTCTATATACGTTCGTTTGCGTTATATATTTAGTCGTAAATGCGCTTAAATTTTACCTTATCAAATTTTTTCGAGTGCCTGGGGGGTAGCTTATTACCCGGGTCAAATCATCAGCCCTAGTGCGTACATACAAACTGAAATTTAAAATGTTCCCAATAAAACAATTACATATTTATTCTTCAACATTTCTTAGAGGCGTGGATTTATTAGTAAAATACAGTAGATATTCAAAAATATTGGCAATAAAACACAATCAGCCTCATTGCGAGAGTCGTGCCGAATGCAAGTCGTTTTTCGAGAGTCGAATCGTATCGAAAATTTAGCGTCATTGCCTAAAATTTCCACTCGACTAGTGTATTAACCTTCGGAGGACACACCTTTTTTATTTGACGCGAACGACACACTGGGGTAAGTTGCACCCCAATGGAAAGGTTGCTTTTAAAACACACAGCTTAAGCTTTTTTGCATATATTACGCTGGAAATATTTAGATAAAATAAATTTAAAATTAAATGTCTTATTGAATTTTTCAAAGGTACAAGATCATACAGGTAACGGTATATTTCCACATATTAGAAGTAAACAAACCACAACCCAGTAAACATTGTGTGGGGTGTCTTACACCCCAGTGTGTCTTTCGAAGGTTAAAACGGAAGAACTTGGCAGCACTGCATAGTTTTCGACAATTTTCGTCGTTTACTTATTTCAGCACGACAGTAAACAATGCTAATGTTGTCGAGTCGTACAATTCAGCCTAATTTACGACTTACGCAATGAGGCTGAATATTTCTGTTAAGTTTGTATACATTAATGTACATAAACGTATTTTGTATTTATTAACAATATTTCTTAACGGTTTTTGGTTAAAGCGATTTATAAGTTGATGCAAAAAATATGATATTAATTACTTGTACTTTTGAAATACGACAATGCTGGGAAAACTATTAAGATTGACTTAAATACCTGAAGCTTTGAAATCTATTCAAATCTCGGCTTATCAACATTTTCTATAACTGGGTTTTAATACATGTAGCTCTAAGATCGTGAATATTTTTATATAATTTACATATGCACGTATGCGCCTCAATAACTTTGCGCGAATAATTTACCATAAAATTAAAAAAAGAAAATCAACAAACAAAAAACTCTTATTCTATAAGTGTTATATATAATATTAATGACGATAATGTTCCGCAATTTATTTGAATCAACTGAAAATGTAAACGCCTTTTTCATAAACGCCGTTCGCCATCGTCACAAAATTTCGTGTGCCAATCATTAATAGAACATTTCTTTAAGATATGCAGATGCATATTTAATCCTCCAGCGTAACGTTGCGGAAGAGATATGACATGGACTCCTTATTGTGTATGCGGCGTATAGCCTCGGCAATTAGAATGGAAATGTCTATGGTCTTGATTTTGTGACATTGCAGCTTTTGGATCTCATGTGGAATGGTATTGGTAACAACAACCTGCATGTCAAAATTTAAAAATTATTTAACAGTATTGTAACAGTCTGCCTATTTTTGCAACTCACCTCATCAATTGGAGATTCCTCGATCAATCTAGGTGCATCTGAGCTAAGCAGACCATGTGTAGCTAATAAATAAATCTTACCAGCGCCGTTCTCCTTTAACAACGCTGCTGCAGCGACAAATGCCTGCACATCATCGATTAAATCATCCTAAAAGTATGCAAATAAATTGGGTTTGAAACGGAAGACTACAGTATATGTATATACTGGGCAAGTAGACAGTTGGCGTTATATACTTACCACCATAATGGCTATGCGTCCTTTGACATCACCGACAATAGTAAGCGGCGGTTTAACCTTTGGCGGATGCTCTGGCACGCCCACTGAAACGCTTATGGTACGCGTTCGATTGTTGCCGCTGCTATTGGGGTTCGGAAGAAGTTGCCAGTTGTGTGGAGAATTGTGTTGCGTTATTGTTGTTGTGAAGTTGTAGTAGTTGTATTGTGCAATGATTTTAAATATTGTATATATTTTTGTATGGATTAGTGATAAAATAATAATAGTTTTTATGCATTTGGTGTATCGTTGATATATTTAAGTTTTTTACAAAAGATTTTTTAATTAAGTAAATGTATGTAAATGTGTTGTTTATGTTATTGTTTATTGTGCAGTGTTAAACCAAGGAAAGACATGAGTAAAAAATACATATTCATTGTTATAATATTTTTAAATGAAAATCAATACCAACCTAGGAGAACAGGAGCACATTTCAACTGTATTTCCTATTAAATCGCTATACGTACTGATAAACAGATAAAGAAAAAATTTTGTTCGTTTTCGTTTCGGTTTTTTGTAGATAAGAAATTTTGCTTACATTCTATGCTAGATATTTAAATACAAAAAGTATGTGTTTTAAAGCAGAAAAGGAACTCCAAAATTACGAACACTAATGCAATAACAAAAACGTTAAATAACAAAAACGTTAAATAGCAAAATCTACAGTTGTACAACTGCATAACTAAAATTAAAATGAAAAAATTATAAGTTTTCATCAACTTATAATAACGCAGCGTGACTAGCGTGCCAGCGACGTGGGCAAGCTATATCGTCTACGATTTTTAAAAAGGACACTTTCTCAGGGCAGGTGCCCTTACCAAAAATGGGTAAACTGCTGTAAATTGCTCAACAATAGTCATATGAATACCAAATTGTGTGTATTAATTTCAATAATAAATATGTATAACGCAAATGTAGCATTTTATCAGTGCTACTCTACTGTTATATAACATGGAACCTTAGACCAGGCGCATATCAGAGCATCGAGCATGGAGTGGAATTGTGTTTGGCCACATTTTTTCCAAGCGTTCCAGCAAAGTCGTCCATTATATATGTATAACGGATAGAGAAAGGATTACGATAGGACAAAACAGAAACTGCAAACTTGCCATACACTTTTATAAATCTTAGTAGCTAGTATCCGACACAAAAATGTCCCCATACATGGTGTGCCGTAATCAGACCTATCACGATCGGGGCTCGTAGCTCACTCCTTCTTAGGCTGAGAAGGAATTTCGTCACCACACTGTCTGCCTATCAGGAAACACTTGGTTGCTTTGCAGGTTCGCCAATTCATCCGACACTAAGCATAATTTAATTCTAGATTTCGCTATTTAATTTTCATATTTTGTTAAAAAATAATAATTTGTATGGAAAATTTGTTGCATATTTTATGAAAATAAAGGTTAATAAATGAATGTTTGCTAAAGAAATTTTTGGGCAGAAATACCGACTTTTTTGGTTCCAGCCTTCACCGATTTCAATGTCAGTTTTTTACTATTTCTTTTTATCTTGTACGGTCAGTTTTAAAATTTCTCAGAAAAAAGCATTGAGTATAGGGAAGTACACAAAATGTTTTACAATCTAGGCTATGCTCTCTTGCGCTTTCTACGCTTTGCTTTTAACTACGTGCGCTCGCATTGAAAGATTTGCGATTTGTAATCGACGCCTTGCCCTATGCCCGTAATCGCCCCCTTATATACTCTCCCTTGTGCAGCTGTCTGTCAAAATGCTCCAAGTCTTTTTAAACAGGTGCCTAAAACTAATTCTGTGCATTTATTGGCCAGAGCGCATCTGAAAGAAAGAGCTCCTCGACTGAGCCAACTGCCCTCCGGTTGAATTTCTGACTCGTAGTAGACACAAGGGAACACGTGTCGGCCATTTCCTCCGCAGACTACACGCAGACATCGCAAGAATGATCCTGGGATGTAATCCATTAGGCCAACGCAGTCGTGGGTGTTAAAATAAATACTTCTATTTGCTGCACTCAGAACGACAGCAAAAGTTAACATTTCTTGAAGCCAAGCAAAGGCCTTAACCAAAGACAGAAATTTGTAAGTAGAATGAGCTCATTATCTAACAAAAGCCATATAAGTCCAAATTTACATTTAAAATTTTGTAGAAAAATTACAAAAATTCAAAAAAAAAATTTTACAACAAACTTTTTTTTAGAATTATTAGAAAAGTTCTAAGTAGGCAGTTGTACTATAGCCCATTATTCCATGCAAAAAATTTTTTAGAACATTCTTTGTATGGAAGAAAATGCGTGACACCATCCACACAAAAAAATGGATCCTAAATTTTACGTAAATAATAAATGCTAGTCTTAAAAATTTCCCAACATCTACTTGCGTTCTAATCGCTTCGGAAAATTTCTTGACTTACATTTGTTTCAAACCCGGAGAGGATGTCTCCTTGCCGAAGCCAAAGAAGGACATCCATTAACATATGCCTATCATGAACAATCAAATCATTTGGGTTAAGTTAAATCTAAAACTCAGACACAGGCCTAGATAGTTTTGGTAGATATATCTCTAGTTACTAATTCACTTTCCTCTATTTAAATCGGGTATGGCAGCTTTTACATATTGTTGAGCTTTGCTATAAAGTTAAGGTTACTATAAGCCTTGAGTGCTATCTATTTCTTACCTATGTACATACATATCGCACGTTTAATAATATAGAGATGTAACTCAAAATTTACGTTCCTAGAGATTTCCTCATACAATTAATAAGCTTGATAAGTAGAACATGTTCAGCTTAACAGATGGCTAAACTTCCCAAAGATGGCGAAGGTATGGGTCTTTTCAACTGTCTTTTTGTACACCAACTGTATGAATTGATCCAACTTTGATTGCGTTTTCCCACAAAATTTAAATTTTGAAATACTTCTGTATATTATTAAACGTGCGATATGTGCCTACTATATATCGACCCGTTTGCGCAAAATTATCGTATGTTACAAAAACCAAATACTTAAGTTTAGATTTGTAGAGATAATTCAGAAATATAGCTAAACGCAAGACCTTTTTTGTAGAAAGGTTTTCACGTTCTAATTTCCTAGCATATACAAACGATAATTTCGACCACAAGAAAAAATTCATTATCCCATACGATAAAATTTACAGCCAATTTTTGGGGCGAACAGGTGGATGTAATATGGGGTGCAGAACAAAGTTGCATCAAAAAGTAAAATTCGTAAAAAATTTAACATACGATACTTTCGCGCAAAGAAGTCTAAATATACTGTCGTTACGATATCGATAGTCCTCTGCAATAATGACAAAACCCAAAACTAAAAAAAAACTTACTACTGTTAAGTGGCTCTCTAATCCTTGTCTAATCCATGTTTAATCCTTACTACTTCCTTTAAGAGAAAAAAATTCTTCAGTTCAAAAGAAGAATAAGAGCAGCGAAAAAAGTACCGAACATGCAAGCGCGCTACAATAACACATTTAAAAGCTAAATCTGAAAGATGTGCGTACATTCAAATACAAATGCACAGTGCAGGCCACGAAGCAGATGAAATGAGAAGATTCCTTCTTAACCCCATAATTGCAGAGCATCAGTCTCTTTTATTTGCTAATGCCCAATGTTGACAAGCATGAAGAAATGCGAATGCTTAATATACAAATTTAGGTACAAAAATTGATTTCATATCCAGTTTTTAAGAAATTAGAGACAAGTGCTCTGCACTAACGAGTTTAGGTAGCCTTTTTAATTCACTGAGTATAAAATGGAAGTTGAGTTCGTAATGTGATGATAGTTTGAAAATTTAATGGTCACTGCATTGAAATGTGCTTTTTTTTTGATATTCGGTGATAAATATTAGAAAAATGTCAACACCGAAAATTCCCTAACAAGTTAAATTGCAACTGCTCGTGTACTCAACAGCTTGAGAAAAAAAATGCATTTTTAAACTAAAATAAACTGAACTGTACACTATAATTAAAATATAACAAAATTTATTTTTTTTTCACATGCATTTCCAGCCAAAGGGAAGGGGCAAATTTCAAAACATTAAGCAATTATATAATGCACGAACACAGGCAGACGGACAAAATTTCTCTACATAAGAAATCAAAACAAACAAAATTGTACGCATATAAGTAAGCAAACCCGTCATTATGTACATATATTAAAATACATACATTATTTTATTGAATTTGGAAGTTGAAATGTACTTTGCAGAAGTAATAGAAGTAGTTTTTTTGTTATAAAACAGTTGGCCAAACAAAAACAGAAGAAGAGAAGTGATTAATACATAGAAGAAAATAATTCTTGTTGAAAATATATATATATATATATGTACATATGTGCATACGTATCAAAAGCATCAATTGAAAAGTTTTAAGTAATTTTTTTTAATTTTACAGCAGGGAGACTTCATTTTTTTTTAAAGAACTTTGCAAAACATTGAGTCAGAGCGATTCTATGTTAAATAAATGATTTCATATTAGGGCAATTCATGAAAACGCGCAAATGCCTCGTAACTATGTAAACCTTGTAAACTTACTTAATTTTGTATGGAAAATCAAATTATTTACGAGCTTTGCGCAGTTACGAGGTATTTACGCGTTTCCCTGAACACACATATTATTTTTAACCGACTTCAAAAATTAAAAAAGAGGAAGTTTATGAATTAATTCATCGATTTTGTTTTTATGTACACGATAACCGATAATTATTTATTTTAACGGAAAGGTGGTACCTCAAACTAAATTCGTTTTGTTCCGATCATTGGATCATAAAGATATTAACGGTACTCCTAAATGTGTATTGCAAAAGACTTTCCAAAAAATTGTTCAGCGTTTTGTAAACCATAATAATTTTACGCGTTACTCCATTCAAGAATTTAGATAGGTTAGACTAAATAATGTGACCTTAACGAAATTTCTTAGCTTCTTTGGGACTTAACAAATTTACCTATTATTGAATTTAAATGAAAATAAATAAAATAAGGAGCTTAATCTTTTTAGAAATTATGCATTTTTGATTTCTTTTGCATCCTATATAAAAATATGGGGTTTTCACAAAAAGTGGGCTTAACAACTTTTCCCTCGAAGCTAGCGACAGTGGTACATACATACATACATATGTACGTAAACAATTTTAATTATATTTAATTTTTGAATGATAAGCAAAGAGGAATTGGCTTATACAATCAGTGATATTCAAAATGAACACACTCACCGGCATACGGATATGGAAAAAAAGTTAGACACAGTGAGGTTAAGATGAAAATGGTAAATGTACAGATGATTAGAATTAAATGAAAGTGATAAAAGGTTAAGCAAGTTTGTACTACTACTGTAAGTAAGGAAAGATTATACATTAGGGTGGTCCAAAAATGCACGTACAAAAGTAAAGTAAGAACTTTTATGCTCTCACCCCCTAGAACTGTTATATATCGAAAAAAGTCTACCCCTATCTTTTTTTTTTTTTAATTAAAAAATATTTAGAGGTCGCTCAAAGCGCTCATAGTTAGCTCATATATTTTGTATGGGGAAAAAAGAATTTTTCGTGGAAATGGTATGGAATTCTTGAAAATCAATATTTTTCGATCGGAAGACTGTTTCTCTTCAACAGAGATAATAATAATACCCAAATATTTTTTTTTAATTTTTTCTTATTATATTTTATGGGTCCGCCAAAACCCCTAGAAAATGCAATGGGGGGATAAATAAAAAATCTTAATTCGTGAAAAATGGTAAAATAAATAATTGGATATTGTTATTGGAAGTCTCCTGAGGAGAAGCAGAGTTTTCCGATCGAAAAATATTTATTTTCAAGAATTCCATACCATTTCCACGAGATGTTTTTTTCCCATACAAAATACACGGAAAACTTTGAGCGCTTTGAGCGACCTCTAAATATTCTTTCATTTCAAAATAAAAAATAGGAGTATACTTTTTTCGATATAGAACAATCCTAGGAGGTGAGATCATTAAAATTCCGACTTTACTCATTTTGGACCACCCTATTGTGCATACCGCTCCTTTGTTGGAACATCGCCATAATAATAAAATAATAATTTGAGTTAAGTATGCACAAAATGACCATAAGCATTACACCTAGATACTCGATCTTGATGATTTTCTGAAAAAGTCTTTGATGATTGATAGTCACTTAAATATCTCGCGACATTTAACAGCTTTAGCAGAACAATCAGTCGTATGGAAGTTAAATTTATGGTGACTGGACGCAGTGATTTTCACTGTAAACTTTCGATTTATGATAAACGAAAATAGTGCGGTGAATGAGTTATTACTAATGTGACCAACCGTACTTCTTTCGGAAGTAGTACATAACTTCTTTTACGCTCCTGTATTTCGTACTTCGAAGTACAGTCAAATGCACTTCTTTGCGATATTTCGTACTTCAGGAGGAAGATTCTTTAGCCAGTTAGCGACAATTTTCGGATCGCTATCGCACTTTTTGACGCATGATATAAATGTTTTTGCGTCAAAAATTGCGATAGTGATTCGAAAATTGGTTACAGAATCTCCCCAGGTCCTGTACTTCACCGATCTTCTGAGGACCGTGAGGACCGGGTACATCCCCAGTGTTGCGTTTTTGCTAAACACTCTTTTGCTAAAAACACTAGACTGATAGACCTGTACCATAGGATACGCGATTCCTAGAGACTGTCTTCCAAAAGCTCAATATGTTTATTGCAAGAAAAGGTCGGTGAATACCGCCCTAAACACTTTGGTAAAGTGGTTAGAGGAAGCCTTCACGCATGAAGATTATACAGTAGGGGCCTTCTTCGATATCGAGGCGAGAGGCAATGGTCAGTTTTATTCATAATCTGGGGGTTGAAACCAACCTAATAAGGCTTATCTACAGGTTACTTCGTACAGAACTGTCGCGGCGGAGTGGGGAGCTCTGCACTTAGTGAAGAGTCAATAGAGCACTCCATAAGGAGTGTTCTCTCCCCCTGATCTGGATTGCGGTTGTAAACGACCTTCAAGAGGAACTGGAAATAGTAGGCTGTCGGATGATCGCCTATGTAGATGATGAGGAACTTCTGGCTCAAGGTTACCTGAACCAGGTAACTAGGTGGGGGATCAGCGGCGGCTGTCATGGAAGCCTAACATTGAGGAAAGGGTAGAAAAGGGGTCGATTGCCTTGTACTGCTGTAGGGAAGCTATCGGCAAAAGATGGGGTCTTCGCCCAAATTAATTCATTAGTTCTAGGAAACCAGATTTAAGCCTAAGGAGCCCTTGTCTACTGCAACTCACTAGAGAAGGCTAGACTTGTAAAACAGGAATTAGCGGAGCATTAGGAATTGCGGATATTGCAGACAGAATTGTCGCAGCAAGAACTGCTATTAGGCTAAGGGAAATTGGGTCCCTTTGTGACATGAAAAAAAAAAACGTTTCTCTGCTGCAGGAAATGCTTTTATAGGCACTTTAAAACACGTTTCCTCTCAAGGGCTAGTGATGGGGGTTCTGACAGGCCGAAGGAATTTCAACTGATCTTTTTATATCTGTTGTCAAAAGGAAGATGAAGTGCAATCATCTCCACACTTTCTTTTAGACTGTCCAACCTTCGCGAGGCTAAGATGCAAACATTTTGGCTCGCACTTCTGAACGAACACTGAGTTCTCAGGGATCGAAATAAGCCGCATTCGAAATTTCGTAATCGGCTTGCGGCGTTAACATAACCCAACCTAAGCTGTACTTCTTTGAGCTATGAAATTGTTGGTTCCCGTAGTTATAACCCAAAATCGCATATGGGCTTGTTCGAGTTGCAATCACAACCGCAGTGTTGCGCGAATGATTAAAAGTATCACGTTCTGTGCCAATTTTCATCAGTACGGCAGTAATGCCGCTTTTATTACGTGCCTCGAACAGGCCCATTTTAAAAATCAATTGCTTGGAAGCACCACTACGATCAATTCTTGTCGGTGCTGGCAGCTGAATCATACGAATATTTCTAAAACTAAGCGGATAGTTTGCGCACAGCTCGCTGTCTTAAACGCTTATCGTATAACTTTTTATGGGTCTATCTTGTACTTAGAGAAGCGGATAAAAGTTATAACATTTTATCTTTTTCTTTCATCAAAAGAAGGGGCCAAAGTAAATGATGCTCGAGCCTCTGGGTATAATTTTAATATTATACTTGTTATATTTTATATTTTTATTTTATATTTTAGTCATTACATATGTACATATGTACATATGTATGTATTTTTCTTCAATGCGAAAAACGTGATTAAAAACTATGAAGTCATTTATATCGCATTTTTGATTTCCCTTCATTATGACGTTCTTCCAGCAAAACTGTGATATACAAACTTTTTAAAATTAAAAGTTAAATATAATCTAATGGATTAATTAAAAACAACCGAATAAAATTGATTTTCAATGAGTGCAAATTAGCATAAAAAAACAAAAACAAAATGCCAAATAGTGAATAAATGCATTTCTATAGGTTTCTGGGGAAAACAACTATATCGACTTGGTAAAATATTTATTTAATTTACATATTTGGAAACAACATATCTGTAGCTTAAGAATCAATTGAAATTGTATAAAACATAATTTGTTGAAAAGGATAAATTGCTAAAGCCAAGTAAGTCGTTTTGCCAAAATGTCACAGAAACACACATTGATGGAACTACCGCTTTATGCATTTCTGTAGTTTTAACAATGAAAATGTATTTTAGTAGTTACATACATCCAAACATACTTTGTACAATACATTTGCTTGAGCAGTGAGAATGCCTACGGGAAATATGTGTATCTTTTCATAAAAAATATGCGCTTATTTACCTTACTGGCGGCGGTGAATAACGTCCATCGACCTCATCACTTTCCGCTTCTTTTTGTTCGCCGTGTATAACCGCAATACCAAGACGCAAACGTTCAGCATATGATGTGGCTTTTTTGGCGCTGTTGGGATTACGCGCCACAATCACCGAGTTACGATAATCAGGAATCTGAGAATTTTAAGAGTAAATTAGCAAAAAAGCAAACAAAGTAACAAACTACCTACAATTGGCTTCTTTCGATAAATTACACGATAATTTAGTGATACATTAAGCAATGATATATGATTTTAGCGTAGTATATGTCTGAATATCTTAAAAGGTTATCATAAATAAATAAAAATATGTTCAATACATAGGAAAATAATTAGGGATAAATATGGAAGAAAATAAAGTTAATTAAATAAAAAAAAGTCACTGATACGGATCAATTTGTACATTAAGGCCTTCTAGTTATGCGTATTCACACCTTGTTTTGAATGTTGGCTGGTGTTTTAAAATGATGTACTTTTTTAAGCTAAAGGCCTGTATGCAGTTCTCAAGAAAAGCTAAAATTCCATACAAAATGACGTACAAGAAATGGCTAAGAAATTTTCTTAAGTCAAATTTCCTTCAGGCGGTACGCAGTTCTTAAGAAATTTGCTACGCTTTTTACTACGGTTTTCTAAAGTTTTTTGTGAAAAAAGAGCACAAGGCAACCCAGGTTTGCAACAGAAATATATGCCCGTTCTATTATTTCTTGAGGAAAGAGTGAGGCAACAGGCTTGAAGTATCAAAAATGTCAAAATTCCTTGGACACACACACGAAATAATAGCTAATTTTTCTTGGCCGATTTCTTGAGAGCTGTATACCAGCCTTTAATGTATACAATGTGGTAAGTGATAATTAAACCTATCTAATTTATCGTATTCGAAAAGCTCGACTTTCTTTTTATCATCGCATGGAATGTCGCATTTGATAGTTGCATATGAATGGAATGGTTTTGTTGATTAATTATTTTAAACTGCCTCCACTGGATTTCTCCAAAAGTTGGCTTGAACAGCAATCTAAGTAATCAATAAGATTGCTTACAATGCTGTTCGCGCCTTATTTGGTTGTTTTAAAAATTACTGAATCATGTCTTTCGAAAGCACAAAATAAAAACGAAAGATACGAAATACATTATTCATAAATATTTTAAAACAATTTTTTTTAAAGATCCTTTCAATAAATATACTGCCTATATACATCGGAAGTATTTGTGCAAAAATATCTGCCTAAACTAAGCAAAGTAAAGTTTTCTAACCCAGTAACGAAAATAAAATGGGGAGAAAACTCAAAGTCGAAATTTGCTGATTTGGTAGCCCGTTTGTTCTTAAATTTCTAACCAATTTTAGTAAAGAACATCATTTTATAAAGTAATTTTGATTAAATAATGTCAAATATATATAATAAACTATATAATTCAACAACATTCTAAATTATAGAGAAACGAAAGTTGGAAAAGAGAGAAGTAGAAAATTAAGTGCTTCATATAAGTACAAATATATTGTACTAGCTAGCAGCCATGCAAAATGCACTAAATCTCGTAGGTATAAGAGTAGTAACTAATATGGCGCCTTATTGGAATAAATATAAAACATGATTATAAGCAATCATTGTTTTTATGATATTACTATTTCTGCGCAATTTATCGTGCTTAATAATCTGTTTTATTTTTAGTAAATACGTTTAACGAACTTGAACAATTGTAATATAAATTATTGTATATTCCCTGCTTACATGCGCCACAACTACGATTAATTCGTTGAACTTCCATTCTGGTGAAAGTCAGCGCATATCCTTGCATTTTAAAAAACCAACGCTTGAAACTCGACATTGAAAAATCTATAAATTAATGGGTTTTGAGAACATATATTAGCTCAAGGCCAGAATATTAGAATTTTTCTGCCACACTGGTTTTTAGCTACGGAAAAACTATGAAATCCCTTGAATTGTAGACACATAAGCTTTGTACGTACTTTAAGCGAAAATAGTTTAAAAAGATGATTTAAATATAGATCAAGAATATTCTTCTTGGTTAGACGAAACACTTATTTCGCTTAGTCCAGAATCCACAGACATATATACATAATTACATAGTACATACTTTCATAAAATAATTATTGCTTTGAGACTTAAAAAAAATTTACAGACAAACTAATTACAATAAATTTTACTCTACGTTAATTTTTCTGATTCAAGCTGAATAAACTACTTGTCACAGTCATACAGAGTATTTAATTATTGAAAATTTGCACATACACTCTCCTGTATATATTGCAATAGAAATGGTGAAGCTCGCAAATTATCAACTGGTATATCGAAAAATCCTTGTATCTCTTTTTGATGCAAATCCATTGTGATAATATGCGTTAAGCCCGAAGTGCACAGCATCTAAAAATGCAAGAGGATTTAATAAAGGCCACAGGGAATAGTGTTTGAATGAAATATGGAGAAAAGTGTTGGAATGATTTGTTAAGAAAAAATGGTTAGAGAAGCAGTCTCTAGGTTTTAAGTGTAGCAATATCTGATCATGTTTTGTAGCTTCGGAAACATATTCCTAAATTTAACGCGAATGTTTTTACTCCGCAACAGAACTGTAACGAAAATGTAAAAAATCACTCTCAACTCCAGGCTGAAATTGAAAAGTATCCGTTAGACTTATGAAAACGTAGCGCCATCAAAAATTAATCCCCAAAGCTTTCAAAATACACTTTGTAGGTTAAACCTTTTTTTCATCATGCTTTATACCTTCATCGATTGGCAAATCGGATCACTTTAAGTGTTTTCCTAGTGTTTTTAAATGTCTACACACACCTCCAATGACAAAGTAACTTGCTTTCATTTTATAACTTTATCCCCACCATATCTATGAATCATAACAAATCTTCCAACATTTTTCTTTACATGAATGTATGTATGTATGTGTATGTAGAAACCTTCGCCAACAATTTTGACACGATACAACCACGTTTTCGCATTTTGCATTGCTTTGAATAGGGTAAATATGGTATAACGCCAACAATGGAACGCGCTGAAGATGTTCTACAAGCATAGGCCATTATGAGCAGCTCCATGATATTGTTATTGGCATCTCTATAAATGCAAGAAAAAGCATTAGAAATAATTAAAATAAATTATAAAAAAAAATACAAATTTGTACATACTTAGTGCCCGTTTGTATGATATAGATATCCTTGCCACGCACCGAGTCGCCAATTTCCACCATAGTCTCACGATTTGTTTTGTGAAATACCGAGCAACCGCCACTCTTAATACCCATACGCTCGCCCACTTTATTGGCCAGATCTGGATGGGAGTTGCCATGGATTAGCACAATATCCGAAGCGGATGACGTATCCATTTCGCTTCTGCAACGTTTTGGTGGACGCACGCTGCCCAATCTGTATGTAAAATTAAGAATATTATGAAACATTTTTTTTTTAACAATAAATTTTTATTTATTTTATTTAAAACAATAAATTTTATTTTTCTAAACTAGCAGCAGGGAATTAGCAGTATACATTAATACCATTTTTTCCACCATTTATTTAAAACACACGACNATTAGCAGTATACATTAATACCATTTTTTCCACCATTTATTTAAAACACATTGCGCGACGAATTGTGAATTCAATATCCAATAAATACTAGCTTACATTATAGCAAATTTCGTGCTGGTGCATTGCACACGCCAAAGCCATCAAACAGTCAAAGCCAAAGTCAATACGAAATGCCAAAGGTAGGTCAATATGACATGGAAGCGTTTGCAACTAAGTTACATACCTATTCCAAACAATCATTGTTGGTTGTTATTTTACGTGGGTGCAGAGAAATCAGCAGGAGTGTTTGTTTGGTTGTAGCGGCGCACTTTATTGCATGAAGGTCAAGTCCATGACAAACGTGCAGGATAATGGGAGCGATTATTAGTTTTCATGCAGTAGCTGTTCGGGGTTGTTTACAGATTTTTTCATATTATATATGTATGTACAAAGAGCAAATTAAAGAGTGTTTAGCCAAAAAACACTGTTCTTCTTTAACCGTTAGGCATCGTTATTTACTAATTAGTTGGATATGTTTCACAGTTTTTATGCAGCTATTCTTTGCCCGCACAGATATGTCAAGATGCGAACAGAAAATAAATACACATGACTGAGCAAATTGTAATCATGGTAACAGCGACATGACATTGTGGTATTGGTAATAAACAAATCAACTAATTCAACGACGATTCTACTGTCAAGTTTGTCATCAATCAAACAATTTTGGCTCTTAGGGCCAGTTGTTCAATGTCTGGTTCTCAACAGTACATCATTATTGACGATTTCAACATTATGCGCATAACATGTGATCGATAAAGCAGTCGTTTATTTAACCGGAGCTTCTACCTACGATTTGTGTTAATCGGGTATTGAACAACCGGCCATTTGTCTAATATATGTATACATAGCTCGTACACACATATATCAGTAAAACAAAAAAAAAACGCATATGGTCAACATTTTTGTCTTTAAAGTTACAATGTATATTAACAAATTATGTATGTATATCAAGAGTTTTCGGTCAAAGAAATATTTTTCTTCACTCGTTCCTCGTTACCAAAATATTTACCATAGAATTTTTCAAGCTTTTTAGCATTAGTGTTGAAAGTTGAAAGTCATCGTTATTATTTTTTTTGTGGAATTATTCCATTCACAGCTCCCAAAAACGGCCGGATAGACTGAATTCAATTTCAATTAGATATACCTACATATGCACGTACATACATGCACTTGGCGATGTAAAAAAGCGATAATATTCTGTTAATATTCACTATAAAAGAAAAATATGCTGCAGAGACCGGTATAGCTTGAAACCTTCAAATAGAATTTTGTTAAAATTACAGTTGCACCTCGAATATCCGGGTTGCTCGGAACCAAGGTCATCACGGTTAATCGAATATCCCGGTTAAAATAGTTTACAATACATACATATTTATGTACGTAGATTTTCACGAAAAATATAGAAGTTGACACATGAAATTTTACACACCGAATGAATGGAGATAACATTTGATACGCAACTTATTACGTAGGTATTAAAAAGGGAAATCCCCGAATTGTACGCAGTAAAATAAAAGAAAAAACACATACATCACGGGTAATAGAGGTGGATCACGGTTAATAGAGATTAGAAAAGTGTTTCGCGTATAATAGAGTGAATCAAGGATATTAGGAGGAAAAAATCAGTTATTCCCCATCGCGGCTAATAGATGTTCCCGTTTAATGGAGGACGGGATAATCGAGCAGAATAGAGTGATACTCAGGTGTACATGGCGTATGAGTAACATTATTTCCTGCTCGTTCATCATTTGATCGCTCATTCTTCGTTTATTTTTCTATCGCTTTTCTTCATCAGTAACTTGATTTTTTTTTTAACAGAAAAGGTTTTAACACAAATGCAAAAATTGACACAGAATCTGTTTTTTTTTTATTTTTTCCCTGTAAATTCAGTGTCACACGATTTTCGGAAACTATCAGGCCTATTGAAAAGTGATGTATATACGGTTTATGGGGAATTCCGTAGACACACGCGGCTAAGTTGAACCACTTTTTTAAGCTGAATATCGGTAAATTGAAAATATCTAGAGAACTTATCTATAGAAAAAGATTAACTCGATTTTCGGGAATCACCGAGCAATTATGTATATCTACACAGGAATGGGAAAATTTGCCACTTTTCCATTAAACATATTTGCTGTGTATTTAGATCGCTGACTTCGAATTTGTAAAAATTTGTATGCATAAATATCGAGGCCTGGAGTTCAGAGTTACCAAATCTTATTATTGCCACAATGGCGATTTAGGCGGTTTACAGCATCTTTAAAATTGAAACCGATATACATATATGTATGTATTTCTTTAGACAATTTAAACGCACGATTTTTACCTATTTGTTAAACTTAAACCATCTAGTTTTATTTAGTTCCTAAGAGCATTACTAAATATCTTACAAACAACAAAAAAAAAACTAAAAAATAGTGATATCTACATACATACAATACTCAGTGTGATCACCCTTTTGGTTCAATACGGCTTTTAGACTTGTTGACATGGAATCTATCTGCCTTTTGGTGCCATCGGAGGTAATTTTGTGCCAATCTCCAGCTATTTTGATTTTATTATACGCTCATAGTCGAAAAAATCTCTTATACAAATTGACCCGCCCTACATAGTATACATATATATACATATATCGTACACACAGAGTTTGTAATTAACAAATAAGTATTTGGGCGTATATACGAAATTTACTGCTATACGGGAAACGGATGTAGTTTAAGTCCGACTTGAATAATTTTTAACGAATTGCTTTTCCATAGCAAGGTTATTAAAAGCACCAAGTTTGGTAAAAATCGATAATCGATATCGATACACATTTGTAGTGGTCATATTTAAGCGGGCGGTGCCACACCCCAAATCCAAAAATTTATAGTAATCAAATTTTCTGCTCAGTGGTTATAGCAATAATCGATTTTTAGTCAATTAGCATCAGTAAGTTACTGATTTATCGCAGTTTTCGTGTTTCTGTAAATTACCGTTATATGGGAGGAGGGCGTGGTGGCTATTGCCTGATTTCAAAGATTTTCAACAAATTTCTTAGCTGGATCATAAGCAAGGCTCGTACCGCGGTTGTTAAGGATTGGTGAAGCGGTTACTAAGATACAGTATTTCATCATAAGTGGGTGGGGTCACGTCCCTTTGCCAAGATTCATAATAATATCATTTTGTACCAAAATTATACTTCACATACAAGTTTTCAACAATTTGGATACAATATTTACCGAAATCTCGTATTTTTTAAATTTTACGAAAATACCGTTATATGAGAAGGGGACGTGGTTACAGTCCGATTTCGTCCATTTTCAATAGCAGCCTACCTTGGATAACGTACACACCAAATTTCGTTGAGATATCTCAGTTTTTGCTCGAGTTATCGTGTACACGGACAGACAGACATGGCTTAGTCGTCTTGTCTTTTAATTCTGATCATTTATGTATACATTTGTCCATATCTATCTCGATTCCTTTAGGCACAAACAACAAAGTTGTAATACCCATGTGGACAAGTGCGCTCGGGTATAAAAAAATGTGTGTAGTGTAATTTTCCCGCTTAGTGAATTCAAGTTCCTTCATATGTACACTAGGTAGTAATTTACTAGAAAAAGTATCTACTTTGGGTGACCTCGTCGTAATCATAGAGAGCAAACTAATCTTCAGTAGCCTATCGGGCAATGAGGTTTATCATCATATCGAGCACTGATTAACTTGTACTCAATGCTAGTACGGCCGTCACTGTTCAGTTGTAGGGTCTCTATATATTTATACGCTTGTTAACAAAATTAAAAATATGCAATAGAAGTTCTATAAATTTGTAAATTTCATCGACCGTCGTAACAGCCAAGCATGCAACGCAAACGCAGTCACGGAACGATTCAATTTAAAGAGTTTGACCTGCCAAAAACAGATCAACGCTTTATCATTCTTTTTCAAAGTGATCAATGGGCTCATTGACTCTCTGGAGGCGCTTGAAAAATTTAGTATAGTCTGCTTTTATACACGCCTGAGTAGGAACCGTCTACTCGTCACGACGAAATCAAATGCCGCTCATTAAATTCTTTGAACAACACGCAATATTTACATACATAGTACGTACATACATACATACATTCATATGAACACACGAACGAATTCCACGAAACAAGAAAGTGAAGCTATTTCACAGCTATCCCGGCTAGGATAACGAATAAGCAATTAAATGACTTCGTTAAAAGTTTGCCCCAGTCAAGAAACTGCAAAACTTTGCGCCTATTCCATTTGCACTATGTAGCCATACACACCAAGTTTTTTACCCACTAACATACAAATGATACGACCATACCTTAACTAAAAACAAAATTATTTCTTGCATTTAAGCCAACGAGTCACTGAGGACTACAAACAAGCAATGTTAGTAACTGAATAACAAAGCCATCGCAGCAGTGTAAAGGAATGCAAACAAATACCGATACAGGACACCCAGTCAGCACATATGCACGTACAGATGGCAGGTAGCTGGGTAACAAAATGCGACGCATGGAAATCCAGATATCGACCAAACAACGTCACTCGCCACTAAAAGGCGTTAGTTAATACTGAGCTTCTGGCCTTTGATGTTTGTTCTTCGAAGCTGCCGAAACCGCAACTAAGACTGACACAAAAGTGCAAAAGACCTTAAAGTCAGCGGGGCTCGGTTCTTTAGGTTTATCCTGCAGCAGTAATCTAATGCTGTCGCAGCCGCAGCCACTAAAAAAGATACATACAAGCACTTCACGAAGGATAGTGACTTACTAACTTGCGATTGCAGCTTGCTGGGAGGAATTTACCCATCCTCCTTCATCCACTTACGCGATTTCAGTAGCACATTTGTTGCACGCCTTCAAGTGTTGTGCCTAAGTACTCGGTGCGCGAGTGTTACGTGTTGTTAAAGCTATTTTTAACATAAAATGCTGACAAAAATGTGTGGCGGATAAGTGCAAAAAATGTTAAATTAAAATTTACGATTAGCACGCGAATTCATAAGTGCAATAATCCTTTGCTAAGAAGCCTCGAACCTGCGGTTAACAAAAGTGACAGTGCAGCAAACTTATTCTAGTACCTGAGTGTGTGAGAGTGGCATTAGTGCCTCCTATGCTTTGGCAAGTGCACATAAGTTTTGGAAACTTAGCACATACATATGTATGTATGTATATGTATATGTACAACAAATAGCTAAACTAGCATGCAGTGAATTTTTGATGGCTTAGAAAAGATATCAACGAAAAATGGGTGATTCGGGTAAGTTTAAAATGTCGAAGTCCCAGAATATGGATTGGTACGCATGCCCTGAATGAAATATAAAATGCATAAAAATGCACATGATGAAGCAATTTTTAAAATTCATCATCATAACATAGTTATTTTATGAGCCGTTTCCCTCTTAATCAACTACGTTAGCTTTCACAGTGGCTACTTGAGGCGTTGTACATAAGTATGTTTACCTTTAGGCGCAGGAAAACTAATAATTGTCTTAAAATTTTGTTTTTAGTATGTCACTGTAATTGTTCTTAAACGATTTTAAGCATTCTAAAAACTTAGTACATTTTTGACGCGTTTGTAAATAATTTTTCATTAGTTAATTCAAGAATTGTGAAGCCCTTGGATTTTGCTCTGTAACGCCTTGTATTTTCATACACTTGCGGTGGCAATGATATGTCAACATCGGTTTATATGCATAGTCAAAAAAAAAAAAAAGTATGTATGTACGTACAGTGAGCCACAAAAATAAGTATACCCTGACGTTTTGACGATTTGATTTATTTATACATATGTATATGTAGGGTGATCCATCTAGTCCTTGGTTTTTTAATTTTAAATAAATCAATTAAAACAAAACTGAATGTCTGATGAATTATCACCCGTGAGAAGAATCTCTGACATTTATTTATTTTTTAAATAATTTCATGTATATGTTGGCCGCAGACAGATCAAAACCGTAAAATTACGAGCGCTACCGCACCTTATAACTGCCTTTTTTTGCCTGAACTGAAGCAAGTGATGTCGGCAACATTTGGTTTCGGCAAGTTATCGTGCGATATCACACCTGTGGATTTTCTAGTTGGGTTTATATGAAGTCAGAAGTCTTCGTCGATAAACCAGCTATAATTCAAACCTTGGATGCTAACATACTCGCGTAATTCACGCAATGCTGGAAAAAGTAATTGAAAATTGGACCTTCCGAAGGGAACACCCACAGCGTTGTCGCAGCCAACATTTCGATGAATTATTAAAAAAAAATTAAATACCAGAGATTCTTCCTTCGTGTTTTCTTAAAAAAAAAGGGTCTGGATGGATCGCCCCATATTTTCCATGCCAAAATGTTATTTTTTTATAAAAATATATGTATGTATNTAAAAAAAAAAAAGGGTCTGGATGGATCGCCCTATATTTTCCATGCCAAAATGTTATTTTTTTATAAAAATATATGTATGTATGTAGTTCATTCAAAAGCCACACGAATAAAGTATTTTTTAAATTTCGAACAAAACTCGTGAAAATGCAAGAAATTTTCATCTTTTCAATTTGATTTCTTAGAAAAATGTTGAGTAAGCAGTTGTATAAAAAAGTCCAGTTTCAAGTCGTTAAAAAATTGCCGTCGATTTTAGATTTTTTTGCCGAGGGTGTTGCGCATTTTCTTTTAATGGGCTTTTTTATCAGCCGGATGATGCGTTGTTGTTGTTGTTGTAGCAGCATACAAGTTCCCCAAAGGGTTTTTGGGGAGTGTTGCTGGAGTGACAGTCCTTGGCCAGATATAAATCTGGGTCGTGCCGGTTACGTAGACCCGACTGTCGACGGAAGGTGCGTCTAACCCCTCGGCTACGATGGTCGACAGTAAACTGAGAGAAATATATACATACATACATATATGTGCGCGTAAAACTCTGTATCAAAGTACATATTTTTAAACTGCTCAGATATACATAGACAAAGGACTAAAAAATAACTTAAGGCAATTATTTTCAAATACTTTTTCAAGAGAGTTTCATAAACAAGTGAATATTTTTATTGATTCCCATTGCAAAGTATGATTGAAAAAGTTATTTTCTCTAACTATTTAACTCCTAATATTAACTCTCTGGTATTTGTAGTAAAAAGAAAATAAACTCAATAAAAATGGCTGAGTTAGTCAATTAACATTTACATGAAATTTACATTACAAATTTGACTTAAATTGCATTAAAAAATATAATTATTTTCGAAATAACTGTGATGCTTTAATGCATATCTAAAATCAATCCTAGCTATTTTTTCTGGAACAACCTTGGATTGAGTCATAAAAAACATACACCTAATTTTATGAACGAGAATAACCGCCTTTCTTTTGTGGAGTATGAGGCAATGTAATGTAGTATAGCAAGCACACTCAAGCAAATAAGGATGACTTTTAGGAATCCTTAATGGAAATTGTGTCCATAAATCACTTCTTCACTATTTTTTACTTTGATAGCTGAAATAAATATTTACATACATATTTATTATTTTTTCGC